ATTTTTGTTTCTTCTTTATTAATTGTGATAATATTTTGACAAATAAACATGAACTAAATGAGATTTATTTTTAATTTATAAAATTTAGAACAACTGAAAAAAAAAAAAAAAAACTGCAATTATACTAAACAAGATCTTAATATCCCTACCAATAGCATATGGCATTTGAGCCCACTTTCTTTTCTTAAGATCCCCGTGATTGACTTGAAAATAGTGGCTCTGTATCTGTATCTAATAATGAAGAAGTTCTTGAGGCAACATTCCAGTATTTGGTTACTTCAGATTCATCATATGTAATCTCTTCATGATTTTTTTGATCACTTGAATTGTTTTGCAAAAAACGAATCTGCTCCAACTCCATAGCAATTTCTATCATCCTTGGCCGCCTTTCACCACTCAAGCTTAAGCATCTATACGCAAGTTTAGCAACCTTTATAATTTCTTCATGTGCAGAACTATCCTTAACTCGAGCATCAAGAATATTCAAGAGGTTATTCTCTTCCATGGAAAGAATGAAATGAGAGGCTAAATTTCTTTCACCTTCTGCCTTTTCCAAAGAAATTGGTTTTTCCCCAGTTAAGAGCTCAACAAGAACAACTCCAAAGCTATAAACATCACTCTTTTCTGTAAATTGACCTGACTGATAATATTCAGGGTCTACGTACCCAAATGTGCCTTGAACATTTGTAGTCAAATGAGTTTGATCAATGGCAATTGATCTCGATGTCCCAAAGTCTGAAACCTCTGCCCTATACTTTTCATCCAGTAAAATATTCGAGGACTTGACATCTCGATGATAAATGGGAGTGGAGGCTGCTGAGTGCAAGTAGGAAAGGGCAGATGCAACTTCTGATGCAATTGTTAATCGTCTCTCCCAAGATAATGGGAAGTCCTCATTTTCATCATGTATATACTGGAAAAGTGTCCCATTGGGGATGAATTCATAAACTAGCAAAGGAACTTCAGTCTCTAAACAACACCCTAATAACTTAACTATGTTTCTGTGATTAATCTGTGTAAGAATCACTACTTCATTGATGAAATCTTTAACTTTCTCTTCATCTAATACTTTGGACTTCTTAATTGCAACAATTCTTCCATCAACCAACATTCCTTTATAAACAGTGCCCTGACCTCCCTGACCAAGTATTCTATTCCAGTTGAAGTTATCAGTTGCCTTTTCCAACTCCTTCGTACTAAATGTTTTGGTCATTTCAACATTACCCTCGGTTGAAGACAATTGTTGCTGCAATAATAAGCTTTGTTTGAAGAACTGGCTTCGGAGCTTCATTTTCCTTCTCTTCTTTAACATTTTGGACAACCATCGTGCACCAATATTTAAGCAAACTACTGCAACCCCTAGACTGATACCTACAACTATTATGGAAGGAGAAAGGATGACTTTATCAAGAGATCCCCAAGAATATCAAAACTTTAAGAACTTAATGCTCGAAATTAATTGAAAGTTTAAGTTCAAGTCTTGAAATGGATGGGAACAAATTAAAAAAAGAGGACTATCTATTGTATAAATCATAATTTATCATAAGATTAATGAGAAAAAAAAAATGAAAACTTTATAAAGTCCTGTTTCACATTGGTATCAATGTTTGGTTAAAATAGTTGCCATTGGAAAGAAAAATCAAAATGAAATGAAATAAAAATAAATAGAAGTCAATAGAATAAAGGGCTTACCCAAAATGAAAAGCCAGTTTGTTTTGTTCGTTTTGTTTGTTTCATTTTCGCAAATGTAGGATCCGATGGTATTCCGGCAAGGTCCGTGGCAAAGATACTTGTTTGGTTCTTTGCACTCATCAATATCTGGTGGAGTATTCAATTAATCAGAACTTTCCATCATACCCAATATATATATATATAAGACACTGATTCATATACCTTATAAAGTTACACACTTCATTAGTTACTAATTGTTCCGTCAGTGTATAACGAAAATTGTCAATTTTAACAACATAACTAATGAAAACTGTCAGTTTTAATAGTATAACTAACGAAAACTATTAGTTTTAATGACACAACAAAAACCGTTGATATGTAACGGAATATGTAACTTTGCATGATATATGTATTATTTCTCATACATAAAACATTGCATATGGATGGGTAAAACCCTATTTAGAAAGATATGTACGTTGTTCTACAAATAATTTTAGATAATGATTTTATGTAATGTAACTAATTGAAACTTGTTTATTATTATATAGAAGCATTATCTAATATGTTCAAAATTAATTTCTCCTTCCTATTAAACTTTAGTTGATGTAGTTTTTAATTTAGAACATTTAAATTTAGTTTTTTTTCTTTAATATATTATTTAATAAATTTATTTTTATTTTGTTATTATTTTAAAAATATA